AGCTGGGGGATAGATTTGAGAAAATTATCTAGATTTTAGAATAAATAGAGATGGAAAATATGACAGGCTAAAAGATATGGAGGACAGAATGAAAGACCCAACCTTAATCTAAAAGGAGTTCCAGAAGGAAAAATGGGGAAAAGGCAATATGCAAGGACATAATGGCTGAGGATTTCCCAGGATTGATGAAAGATTTTTAAAAAGTTTAAGTGCCAAGTAAAATAAAATTAAATCTATATCCAGACCTGTTAGTCAAACTGCAGAACACTAAAAACAAAGAGAAAAATCTTTAAAACTACCAGAGAGAAAAGACAGATTACCCTCATAGGAACAAAGAGATAGGCAGCAGACTTTTAAATTACAAAATACGAGCCAGAAAACAGGTAAATGATATCTTTAAAGTTCTGAGGGGAAATACCTGTCAACCGATTTTTCTAAACTCAGCTAAATTATTATTCAAGACTGAAGGCAGTGCTTGCTTCAGCAACACATATACTAAAATTGGAATGATACAGAGAAGATTAGCATCGTACTGAACAAGAACGACATAAAAATTTGTGCCCTGTCATCCTCATACTCTTGGCTGATTATCACACACACACACACACACACACACACAGAGGGCAATAAAAATGTTTCCAGAAATGAATGGAAAGAATCAACAACTCACAAACCCCTGCTGAAAGAAATACTAAAGTATGTACTTCAGCAGGGAAGCACTCATGTGGAAAAAAGAATGATGAGCAAAGATATTAGTAAACATTTGGGTAGATGTAAATAAGCATTGGTTGTAAAATAATAATAATAATAATGAGGTTGACGAATGATTTAAGGGTATAAAAACAAAGTTGGAGAGGCATGGTTTAGTTGAAACTTTCTAACTCCTTGAATTGTTTTAAGGAAATAATGACAAATGAATAGAAATGATGAAAAACTTTAGACATTTTAATTAAAACAAACAAACAAACAAACAAAATAACGTATATCTTCCAAACTAGTAGGAAAAAAATAATTTAAAAATTGACTAATAAAAAAAACACGAGAGGGGAAAAAAACATATGAAAGGGCAGAATTAAAGGAAAAATCCCATTTAATAAAGAGATATAAATAAATCCTAACATATTATTAATTACATTTAATAAATGTGACTGGACTAAAACATGTAAATTTAAAGACAGAATCTTAGTTGTATTTAAAAATCCAAAATTTAGCTGATTTATGTTTATAAAAGTCATACCTATAACTTAGGGGCATGGAAAGTGATGGAGAAATATATGGTAGGCAAATACTAGCCAAAGTTGATGTAGCTATGTTAATGTTAAGCCAACTATACTTTAAAACAACAAATATTTTAGGGATAAATTTTGTCACAGCATACTGATGAAATCTGTCTGCACCTAAATATATTGCCTTAAATTATATAAAGCAAAAGTTGACAGAATTACAAGGAGATACCAATAAATCTATCATCTGTGGTAAATTTTAACACATTTCTCCATGTTGATAGGGAAAGCAGGCTAAAAATGAATAAGAATGTAGATTTGCACAACACGATTTTTAAAAAAATCTTGAATTGATATACAGGGTAGGGGAAAAGTAGGTTCACAGTTGGGAGTATGCATGACACAGAGTTTATTCTTGCATTATTATTTAGTAATTATTATTTTATTTTCCATATGAGCAACTGTAAACTACCCTGTATGTAGAATTCTGTGCTCAATAACTACAGAAACTCATTCTTTAAAAATATACATCATTTATCACATTCTTTTATTATAATGAAATAAAATTAGGATTTCCAGAAACAAAAATATAATTTAAAAAATACACTAAAAGTGAAAAGAAAGTAGGTTACAAAATGAGTAGGTGTAGTATCATACCATTTAGGGAAAAATAATATCTGTGTTATGCGTTGAGAAAGAAAGGTTGGAAAGAGACACTAAAAATGGTAAGAGTGATCATTTAAGGTTTCTTGGCTTGATGATTTTTAGTTTTGCTTTATTTTTATTTTGTTAATTTTTTTTTGTTTTGTTTTTAGAGAGAGAGAAGAGAGAGGGAGAGACAGAAGCATCTATGTGAGAGAGAAACATTGATCAGCTTCTTCCTGCATGCCCCCTACTGGGGATGGAGCCCATAACCCAGGCATGTACCTTGACCTAGAATAGAACCAGCAGCATTTTGGTGCACTGGAGAATGCCCAACCAACTGAATCACACCGGTCAGAGCTCCACTTTATTTTTAAAGAGCTTTTCTGTATTGTTAAAACTTTCTGCTTGGTGTATGTGAGCATGTATTTTTTTCTAGTTAGAAAAAAAAAATTAACAGTGCATTTTATTTAGTATAACATGTAGAATAATACCTTGCCAGGGCTGTTGCAATAGTCTCCTAACTGGTCTCCCCATTTCCATCCTTGCCTCCTAAGACATTCTTTTCCCTAAAGCACTTAGAATAAAATCCAAATTCCTAACCTTAGCCTGCAGTGTTCTATAGGACATTGTTCCAGACTACATTTCCAGACTTACTTCCACTCACACTCCCCAGGTTCACTCTACTCCAACCACATTGGCTTTCATTTCCTTGAACTCTCCAAGTTTTTTCCAGCCTGGTTCTCCATATTTGCTACCCCTTGTACCCAGAAGCCCCACTGTTCTTCCCCCAACACTCTTTTCCTGGCTAAGACCTAGATATTCTCATGTTTTAGCCAAAGTGTTAAATCCTTAGGGAAGCTTTTTCTCCTCTCCCTCCCGAGACTAGGTTTGGTTTCTCTGATATTCTCAACTTACCTATTTTTTCCTTCATAGCAGTAACAATTAACTTGAAAACAGATGTTTATGTGTTTATTTGGTTATTGTTTATCTCCCTTGCTTAACTGCTCTGTGAGGACAGGGACCATATCTAGTTTACTAATTATTATATAGCCAGTACCTAACATAGTGCTGAGTGGATAGCTGTTGAAAGAATACATAAATAAGTGAATGAATAAATTATTGAATCCTCACAAATTATTCCGGAAATTATGGAACCAAAAAGTGAGGTAAATAAATTTGTGAAGGAGAAGGCTAATGATATGCCACCACAATCGTGGTTTTAACTCCCAGTTCTGGTAAGAGCTAACATTCATTGAAAAATTCTGACAAGATAAATTTCCTTTAGTATTCTCTTTTCATACATTTGCTTTAGTGGACCATTCCTTTTTAAAGGAAAAAAGTCCTGTGAATTAGCTTAAAAACAAAACAACAACAACAAAGTTATTTCTGAAGCCAAAGACACAAGGACAGTGAGGTAGGATAATTTGTGGATGGGTATAAATTAGTGTATCACATTTCATTGTCTTGAAGCTCTGTTTCATTATATAATTGATACAGTACCACATAACCAAAGCGCAATTCAAGTTGGCCTGGATATGTTCTATCTTCCCTTCCAGGGACAACTTATACACCTTCAGTCAGCTTGAGTAATAATGGTCTCTGTAATTAAGGCCAGTATGTAGGAAAAAGATACATATTCCCACTTACTGTTGCTTCTCTAGAGAAGAAAAATATTAGTTATTTCTTAGGCTTGCTCCAGAGTTTACACTTTAGGGTGTAATCTTAAATTCTTAAAATATAGCCTTTAAAAAAGATGGTAAGAAAGCAAAGTAGGATACTCTTTTGATCCTGCAACATCATGGATTTAAATTTAAATACTAGCCTCCTTTCTGTTAATCCCACCCTCAACTCCTTTTTTTAAATGTTTGTTAAATGTCTATTTAAATTCTTTGCCCATTTTTTTTTGTTTTTATTGATTTTTAGAGAGAAAGGGAGAGCAATAGAGAGACAGAAACATGGATGAGAGAGAGACGTTGATTGGCTGCCTCCTGCACTGCCCCCTACCGGGAATCAAGCCCACAACCCAGGCATGTGCCCTGACTAGGAATCAAACCGAGGATCTCTTGGTTCATGGGTCAACGCTCAAACATTAAGCAACTCCAGCCTGGCTTTAAATGTTTTTTAAATTGATTATATAGAGAGAGAAAAAACATCTAGGTAGGAGAAAAACATCGATCTGTTGCCTCCAGTACGTGCCCCGACTGGAGGATGGAACCCAAAAGCTAGGGATGTGCCTTGACTGGGAATTGAACATGCAACCTTTTGTTGTATGGGACAAAGCTCCAAGCAACTGAGCCACCTGGCCAGGGTCCACCCTCAACTCAACCTCCACAGAAGAAAGTCATGGTGGTAATTTCTTTTCTTTTTCTTTTTTTAAAAATATATCTTTATTGATTTCAGAGAAAGGAAAGGAGAGAGAGAGATAGAAACATCAATGATGAGAGAGCCATTGATCGAGCCTGCAACCCGGGCATGTGCCCTGACCGGGAATCAAACCCTGATCGCCTGGATCCTAGGTCGATGCTCAACCGCTGAGCCACGCCCGGCCGGGCTCTTTTCTTCTTTTTTTTAAATCTTCACCTGAGGATATTTTTTCCATTGCTTTTCAGAGTGGAAGGGGGAGAGAGACATCGATGTGAGAGAGACACATCGATTGGTTGCCCCCTGCTCACCTGCCGACTAGGGCCAGGGATTGAGCCTGGAACCAAGGTACGTGTCCTTGGCCAGAATCAAGCCTGGGACCCTTCAGCCAGAGGGCTCATGCTCTAACCACCTAGCCACACCGGCCAGGGCACATGGTGGTAATTTCAATGTCAAATTCTCTACAAGAGCTTAGTGTTTTAACGTAACCACTTTCCCCAAAATCTCAGTCTTCTCTGATTTGTACTAGTTACAAACTAGATCTTGGTAGTTATCTACATAAGCGAGTGTGGCAAATATCTGCTTGTATTTAGTTCCTTAATAGTTCACATAGAAGCAATAAATACCTTTCAGTTATTCATCTCTTCTCAAAATTTACTTCCAGGTAACACCACAGTTCTGTGATAATGGGTGAAGCGAAGCCACACAGCTTTAAAATATAATTTATTCATAAATAATTGTGAAATAAATTTATGCAATGCAGTAGAGAAGAGGTATAGGGCATTGGCATAATTCATAAAAATAGGTATGTCCAATTAAGAATAAACATAGGAAATGAGAGAACAGGATTTGTAAATGCATCACACTTTTCTTTATATTCCTTTTAAATGTCAAGGATCTCAATTACTAAGTATAAATATAGTATCTTGAAGGCACTGTTATTATTAGTGCATAAAAGAAAAATATTTTTAACCTAATTAGATCCAAACATTGAGAGCAGGACTGATGAAGCCAAATAATACTGTGTGCACAAGAGTATTTTTGATTCAGGTAAAACATGTGGTTAATATGGTACATCAACTATTTATGATCCTTTGTTATTTGTATATTCCAGAACAATAATGAAAGCCTAAACAGAGAACACTAAATCATTTGATCAGATCAATGAAAAGACAACCAAATACACTTTTCTGGTAATAATAATGACCAGTTGCTATGCAACTGATTGTATCATAGTATAATTAACTGACTTAAGTTCTTAAGACAACTGAAATAAGTAGAGCAACCATTTCATGGTCATATCTCAGTTATTTAATTGATGATGTAGTAGTCCAGTGGTTAACCTGTAAATTCTATCCAGCTATCACTATAAAAATGGAATAGCTTATTAGTATGAGAAAACAATATTTTCTACCAGAGTAGCAGAAATGACTGTAAATGACTAGAATATCAGTATAATTGTATTTAGACTTTCTGAAGTACATTGGAATAATAAGGAGAAGATAGAAAACATTAATCAATTTTTTTATTTTTTATCAGGGCTATTTTGCTTCGTGTCCTCCTTACTCATGCAGTTTCAGAAGAAATTAACAAAATCCAACTCTCTTTTCAAAGTTACGGTAACTTCAAGAGTTTCAGTTTCCAGGATATAGAAAGCTTTGGCACTGTTGCAATCCACAGGATGGGGAAAGTTCAGCAACAGTTTCCTAAACAAAATAAAACAAAACAAAAACAAAGAATCAGCTTCCTAAAGTGATATCAAGAAGACATCACTTTTAATAAGGCAATGGAAAGCAAGATATACCATCAGAACATTAAAAAAGCACAAAACAATATTTAGACAGTATAAGTACTGGATCAAAAGTATGCCTAAATAACACAAATAGTATATCAGTTTTTTGGCCTTAAAAATCCAAGCAGTGGTTTTGACTTCCCCCTGTTTTGTCTAAATTGACTGCATTTTGTATTATATAAACATAGTCTCAGGCTGTGTTTATAGGCTTAAAAATAGAACCATTGCAACTTTAAGTTGGTTGAGTAGATCTGTTGCCAGTCATTCTTATGGATGCATGGAATGTGGCTAGATGACACAAATCTGAAAATCAGAATGGTTCTATAAGAATTCTGTTAACACAACTTTAGGCTGAGTCTCTACTGCAGGTGTAGTTATTGAAACTGAGGCCTGGAATGAATTCAATACCAGATCAATGAGAGTGCTTCTCTGCTTGCTTTTGGTTCTTTCTACTATGCATTAACAAAAAGTCCCAATGAGGGATTGCTGTGTTTGTTTCGCAGTGGATGGCTCAGTTGCTAGATAGCTTCATGCTTTCAGATGCATTGCTGGGATGTGACATCCATAATTCTGCCATAGTGATATGAATGTAAATTATGCATGGTGTTGGCACATGCTGGTATCTGAAGAAAATTAAATGCATGAAACACTTGTTACCTCATATTCGTAATAAAGAAGGTTTAAGTATCTCTATTTAAAAAATGGACAGAAAAGCTCTTTTACAAGGTATAATATCCAAATCAGTAAAGGAATCTGGTATTTTTAGTACTTATTGAATACTTGCATAAAGTATTTGACAACAAAAACCTTTAAAATCAGTTGCTTCTTTACTCATTTGCAGACCTAAATTCAGGACACTGGACTCATTAAAAGTATTTACCACACATCTACAGAACCTGAAGGAGAAATTTTCTGTGACTTTTACTCCATTCCAGATATTTGGGGTAGGAGAAACAGTTCCTTCCACCTTAAGTAATGAAATCAAGATGTATTTTAATGTAGTCTGTAATATTTGACATCTCAAAAAAAAGTAGGTGCAGAAACATTTAGAATCCATCTTTTTAAAGTTGTTAACAACATAGGTTGTGTTAGAGCTAGGTTTGCTTTATCCCTTATTCTAAAAATGATAATAAATTCACTTTAAAAAGGAAGCAAAGCTCAGTGGTGCTAGCTTCACTGCACTAAAAGACAACTATAAATTAGCTGAAGAAGGAGTTCCAATGACAATGTGCACTTCTCTGTCCAGAGAGAAATAAATTTTAAAAAGACAGTTAGTGGCCATTGGAATGATCCATCTATCCCTGCATTTTTGTCTAGCCCTTAGTAGTGTGGCTTCACATACTAAAATTTTGAACAATACAAACTGTATAACTTATTTAGGCCCTTAGGAGAAGGAAAGTATTTTTTTCTAGTTTGTTTTACTGTCTGATATCTGAACTGAGATTTATATTTAAACAAAGCAAAATCCTACAAATACTTAACCATTGAAGAACAGGAATGTATCTTATCTTGGTGTCCCCCCAGTGTCTAGTAGAAGAGTTTATAAATATTTGTTGAGTGAATAAATAAGTGAATGAAAAGCAAATTGGTCACCACAAAATGATATTTGAATAACTACTATGGATTAGTACTATAAAATATGAACAAACATTTAAACCCAAATCCTTCTGCCTTTACATTGATAACATATTTGTATTTTAAGAAGCTACAGTTTAGACACTGATCAAATGTTTATCCAGTGCCAATATTTATTACAAATTATTTAAATGCAAACAATAATATATGAAAGTAAAAATTTATCTATGCAGTGAACTTTAGTTTAGAGACTTGCATGCTTACATTTATATTGGAGAATTCAAGTTGATGTTGCTTGCAAAAGCTTTACATAAAGGACAACCTGGCTCTGTGCATATTTACATAATATAATTTTTATTTTATGTAGTTAATAAATAATTTGACTTACATATCTGTGTTAAACACAAACATGGCCCTTTTAAGATTTCCTATTGGAAAATAACTACTGTTAAAGAATGCAGAAATAGCAACTGAGCTGCAATTCACTATTCCATTTATAAAACTTTCTTTAGGTATCAATGTCATTGAACATCAGTCAACTCACAATTAATCTGAATTAAAAGAGTACAGCAGAGGTGAAAATAATCTACAACAGCGTTCAACTAAAATTAACTTATACTTGTCTTTAGAATGTTTTTTGTTATCACATTCAAGAATTTTTTTTATGATATTCTTAGAATTCACTTCAAAGAATAATAAAACCCCATATAAAGACAAAGTTGGGAAATTATCCAATTTCCCCTATCTTTTCTCCTTTCCATCTACTTCATGCTTAGAATCTACATACCAAAACAACCAGTTGCTAAAAAATGAACAATTCAGTAAACCGCATTATTTCTTTTGGTTGTATAATGCTAAATATCTGGGTATTATTAATAATTACAATGTAATTGGTTATCATTTGACAGATTAGTAGTCAATTCAGTGAAAATGAATTCACTTGTTCTCTGCCTTATATGAACAATTCTAAATGTCCTCTCTCATCTTTCTTGATGCAAGTAACACAGTTTTACAGGGTGTCTAAGTCAGAAACTAAAGAAAGTAGATATAAATATAAGTAAACTCAAAAACAAGACACATTTCCAATAATACAAATTTAGATAATAGCATGGTTCCAAAGAAAACTCCAGTGTTTAAGAAAAGAGATAGAAACCTTAATTATATCTTCTGTCTTCTATCCTAATGATTTTTTCCTTATGAGACAGTACCTCTCTGTACTTATCATTTAGTATATAAATACAGTATGATCAAAATGACCTAATGCAGCCCACATTTTATGTGGAAAAGTATCTCTGTGTGAGTCTTTCATTTAGTGAGCTCTGATAGATATCTGGAATGACAGCATAACCAGAGCAGATGCCTAAAGATTGATGGAGACAGTAAGAACTGCTAGGGGAACGGAAATTAACTCCATGGTGTGTAGATATGTGTGTGCTTTTAACAAGCGCACAAATATCATGAAAGATTGATTGTCCATTTAACTAACTTTCCTTTGAAAGGTTGGGTGCAAGGATAAATGTGTGTATAATATGCAATGAAAAAATTACAACATTCCCTGAAGTAAATGGTAGGGATAGTGAATGTAATTTTTATAACATGAGACAATCATGAGGATACATTTTTGAAATTACTATATAAGTAATAAGAAAATATTTGATATGTATTCATCTGTAGGTCATTCGTGTTAAATGCATCTACTGTAGAAATCAAGGTTAAGCTATGTATTTACATTGTGTTGCTTATACATATAAGTCCTTTGTATGAGGGATCTACTTTTTTTTGAAGCTCTAAGATCAACAAAAGAGAATTATAGGTACTGGTAATGGGAGGAAGAGAATGTGCCAGGAGCTGACAGCTCTTCACGCACAATTTGAAATGTTGATGAGTTATAGAGAAAGAACCACTGCAATCAAACAAAGTGTGTTCACTGCTATACATCCAGATGAAACGTGAACAAAGCAGTGAGATATTTAGACATTTTTATCTAGCACACACCAGCTTCCATTGATTCCCTCTTTATAGAGTTAGTTTTGAGAAACAGGATTGATTCATTCAGGTTTCAGGATAAACATTTTATATCATTTTTACTGTATGTACTCAGTTTTGGGAATGTGATTTGAACCTGTGTAATAACAAGACTATTTTGAAAACATCAAAGTATTTAATTGAATCATTCCATTATCACCTGTATAATTTTAAAAAGTACTCACACAACTTGAGGACCTAGTGATAAATTAGCTGTTAGAATTTTTGTTTCAAGTAACTGATGACAAAAATTTGTGTTGCCCTGGCCAGGTAGCTCAGTTCGTTGGAGCATCAACTGGTACACCAAAAGGTTGTGGGTTCGATTCCTGGTCAGGACACATACCTAGGTTGTGGGTTCAATTCTCTGGTTGGGATGCACACTGGAGGCAACTGATCAATGTTTCTCACATCGATGTTTCTCTTTCTCTCCCTCTCTCTAAACATATCCTCGGGTGAGGATTTAAAAAAGGATTTCTGATGATTTTTAGGTGAACATAATCAAATTTAATCTGAGCCCCCACCATATACAAAAAATTTAAAGATATTTCTTCTCTTATGCCATCACTGTACAAAAAACAACACATTCAAAACTTACAACTTAAAGGATTTTCACCTCCAGCTATTTTTTCTAAAAGGTAAGTGAACTGTATCTGAAGATCAAGGACTGTGTTTTGGTGATATCAAACTACTCCAAATATACAAATACAGAGTAGGAAAAAATCTAGGTATTTCCAAATACATTTATGTTTATATTATGTAGATCACAGATCTGAATGATTAGTTGACTTTTTAACTTTTCTTCAGATTTCGGGAGTAATACAAAATAGCTATTTCCATTAAAAAATATGGACTGAGGATTCATTAAAATTATAATACATTATTCTAGCTCTAAGTTTTACTCACTTATCAGGAGTACGAAGGTCAAGGATCATTTCTTGGATATTAATTTCAATATCAGAAGGGTTTGTATTTGGCAGTTTAATTTTAACCTGAAAGAGAAAATGAGAAGAAAAATACTGTTGTCTTGAAGAACAGTTAATTTGAGGAATATAAGAAAAATATAGGAAAATGAGAACTAATATTTCTTTTTTTTTTAATTTTTAAAAAGAATGTATCTTTATTGATTGCAGAGAGAGGAAGGGAGAGGGAGAGAGAGAGAGAGAGAGAGAAACATCAATGGTGAGAGAATCACTGATGGGCTGCCTCCTGCACCCCCGACTGGGGATTGAGCCAGCAACCTGGGCATGTGCCCTGACCGGGAATGGAACCCTGATCGCCTGGATCCTAGGTCGACGCTCAACCGCTGAGCCACGCCCGGCCAGGCCAGAACTAATATTTCTTAAGTGCCAACTATGTGCCAGGCTATGCCATTTCCTCATAACAATCTTGAGAAGCAGGGATTATTACCTCCATTTTACAGATGGGGAAACTGAAATACAGTGAAGTTTAGTGAGTGGCCCAAGGGCAATGGTTTGTAATTTGACTAAGGTCTATCTGTCTCCAAAGCTATATAGAGACACTTTGGTTACTTGCCTGTAATCTTCATTGTCTGAAGGTGCATTGCAGTGCACCTGCTAAAGTTGGAGACCATCAACTGCCTTTATATCAGTGGGCCCTGTGTATTAAAAAATGGTTAGTACTCATGTTAGGTATGGGTTGATAATGCCTTCTGGTAGTCTCCTGGTATAAACTCCCATACCACATTTCCTAGAGAAGCGTAGGAGTCCAGAGAAGTTGTTAACATAATAAAAGAGAAATAAAAATATGACCCCTGCACATGAAATGGGAATATTTATTAGTTTGGCAAGATTTCACTTAAAAATGTCTCATCTCACTTACCAGCAATTCCAATGAAATGCAGGTGCTCTAACAAAAACATGTTCATAATGTTTTTGTTCATAGAAGCAGTATTCACAATAGCAAAAAGATGAAAACCACTCAAATGAATATCAATTGATGAATGGATAACCCAAATGTGGTATATCCATAGAATGGAATATTATTCAGTCATAAAAAGGAATTAAGTACTATTATGTGGATGAGCCTTAAAAAAATTAAGCTAAGTGAAAGAAGTCAGGCACAAAAAGCCACCTATTGTAGGAATTTTTATGTGAAATATCCACAATAGGCAAATCCATAGAGACTGAAAACAGATGGGTGGTTGCCAGAGGCTGAGGAGGGAGAAAAGAGAAGTGACTGTTAAATGAGTATGGATTTCCTTTGGATAGATGAATATGTTCTGGAATTATATATTGGTGATGGTTGCGCAACATGTGAATGTACTAAATGTCACTAAAGGCAAAAATTTTAAGGCAAATTTTATATTATATGTATTTTATCACAGTACAGTGTCTCATCTCTCTAACTTAATTTAATCTCTCTCTTTTTAAAAATATGTCTTTATTGATTTCAGAGAGAGGAAGGGAGAGGGAAAGAGAGAAAGAGAAACATCAATGATGAAAGAGTCGTTAATAGGCTGCCTCCTACATGCCCCCTACTGGGAATTAAGTCTGAAACCAGAGCATGTGCCCTGACTGGGAATTGGACCACAATCTCCTGGATCAGAGGTCAATGTTCAACCACTGAGCCACGCCGGTAGGGCTATTCTCTTTTTAATAGAATTTTATCATCTATCTATCTATCATCTATCTATCTATCTATCTATCTATCTATCTATCTATCTATCTATCATCTATCTATCTATCTATCTATCTATCTATCATCTATCTATCTATATTGATCTATCTATCAACAATTTTTCTGAGATGACATAGGATATGATTTCCAAAGACAAAGAAAAAAACAGCTTAAAGTTTAGCTAAATTATGAAGCCTTATTTAAAATGAGCTAAAAGACTTGAACTATTGGACATCTGGTGATTTCAGAGCTGGAATGGAAATGATAAAAGCCATAAGTTTTGACGGCAATACATATCAAAGAAATAATGGGAAAAAATGGAATTCCTTGTAAGAAGCTTAAAGTAGGCAATAATATTTTTGTAATATAAAATATGTGGACCAATACGTGCATGTGAGTTACAGCTTACTTTATTAAATCTGTACATAAAAAATATTTGTAAATAGAGCTCTAGAGGTCTTACTCTCTAAATATATCCAGATATATCCTATCCTCCCCTTCATGGGAGATCCATTACCCCAACCCTTCCAACTCCCTGTGGCTTCACCTTGTTGAGCTTGGGCTCCTGGGAGAATCTTGGTCAGACAGTTGTGTGGCTCTAGAACAGGGGCCATTTTTCACTCATACACCCCAATGGTGCAGAGCACACCCTTCATGTGGCCAAATCTTGATTTGTTTGTGCCTGATAAACTCTGCTAGCATCACCCTGATGACTCCCTGAGACCCCACTCCACCACAAAGGTCTGCAGGCACCCTGTGGTGGCAGCTAAACTTGGTGTAAACAGGGACATTTGCTGAGTGGCCTCAGACCCAGCACTGACACTGAGTTTGAGCCTTTATCAGTCTGGTGAAGACCACTCACTCCCTATCTGGTGACTCACTGACAACCTACCTCATGCAACTTGAGTACTGCCAGAGACTCTTCCAGTGACAGAGATTATCAGGAAGTCAGCTGGCAAAGGAAGCTGGAGGCAGACCTCAGAGTGCCATGGGAGTTTTCCTGACCTGCCCCTGGGTCATGTGCTGGTAAAATCCAGCCTTGGTGTGCAGCTTGATCCTTCCTGTACATACCCAGGCCCAGTAGAGGCAGCTACAAACTGTGGATTGCTTTGTAGCCCCAAATAGGTTGCCCAGGGCCAGTCACAGGCAGAGTCTGACATTGGCCTGCACTTGAGTCCCTCCCAAGAGGCCCCAGAATCAAGACAAACAGTGGCCAGCTTCAGACAACATCAGAGCAAGATCAAATTAGCTTCACAAGTGGCATATCCAATGAGAGGTCTTGGCAGGCACCAGACCCAGGGCAAATTCTGTTTCCTGTGGTCAGCACCTGCATAGCAGCTCATACACTGTGGTCATGGTCAATCCTCACAGTGAGCCAGCCTGAGGTTTGATCTCACACACGAATGAGCCAATAGCAATCAAGACTCAATTACAATAAAAGGGCCCACATAACCTACACAAGAGACATTCCTGGAGCACTCAGATCAGGTGATCAAGGAGACTGTGCCACTGGGACCCACAGGACACCAACTACATAAGGCCTCTCTACCATGATAGGGAGTCAAAGCAGATCAACCTAATACATAGAAACAGACACAAAGAGGTGGCCAAAATGGAGAGAAAAAGAAACATGCCTCCAATAAGAGACCAGAAGAAATCTCCAGAAAAAAGAGCTAAGTGAAATGGAGGCAAGCAATTTACCTGATTCAGAATTTAAAAAAATAAAAAAATAAAATGGTTATAAGGATACTCAAGTAACTTAGTGAGAACTTCAACAGAGATGGCCAGCATAAAAAGGATATAGAAACCATACAAAAGAACCAGTTAGAAATGAGGAATACAGTATCTGAAATGAAGTATACACTAGAGGAATAAACAATAGGTTGGATGAAGCATAGAATCGAATCATCCATTTGGATAAAAAGGTAGTAAAAAACACTCAATAAGAGCAGCAAAATGAAAAGCAAATTTAAAAATAAGAATAGTTTAAGGGACCTTTGGGACAACATAAAGCTTAACAACATCCACATGACAGGGGAACCAGAAGGAGAAGAGAGAGAGCAAGGTATTGAGAACCTATATGAGAAAATCAAGACTGAAAATTTTCCTAACCTGGTGAAGGAAAAAAAACACACAAATCTAGGAATTTCAGCGTCCTAAACAAGATGAACCCAAAGAGACCCACACTGAGACACATCATAATTAAAATATCAAAGGATAAAGACAAAGAGAGAATTTTTAAAGCAGCAATAGAAAGACAGTTTGTTAACTATGAGAAAGCTCCTATAAGGCTGTCAGTTGTTTTCTCAACAGAAACATTTCAGGCCAGAAGGGATTGCCATGAAATATTCAAACTGATGAAAAGCAAGACCTACAACCAAGACTACTGTACCAGCAAGGCTATCATTTAAAGTCGAAGGAGAAATAAATAGTTTCACAGACAAGAAAAAGCTAAAGGAGTTCATTACCACCAAACCAGTATTACCAGAAATGTTAAGGGTCTTCCAGAAGAAGGAGGAGGAGGAGGAGGAGGAGAAGGGGAAGTAAAGGAAGAAGAAGAGCACAGGAACACAGTTAAAGAACAAAATGGTAATAACATTTACCTATATATAGTCAATTTATATGTAAATGGAGTAAATGCTCCAATCAAAAAGCACATAGGGTAGCTGAATGAATAAGAAATATCCAATACATATGCTGTCTAAAAGAGACCCACTTCAGAATGAAAGATACAAACAGATTAAAAGTAAAGGATGAAAAAAGATATTTCATGCAAATGGAAATTTTAAAAAGCTTGAGTAGCAATATTTATATCTGACCAAATAGAGACAAACCCATAAACAGAGATCAGGTTGACAGCTGTCAGGGGGTGGGGGGTGCTGAGGGCTGGGTAAGGGGGATGAAGAGATTGAGCAAAAAAGAAAAAAAAA